CTAAATGTGTCACCACTTTCAGTGACAGAATCGATGACTTCCTGTGTGAATCCCCTGGACCTGACGTCCAGTTCTACAGCGTCAGCGTCGGCCGTCACTACAGGAATAATCTGGATTAGAACTCTGCTCCGCTCTGATCCATCTGATTACTCTGGGGTGCATAAAGTGATTCATAGTCTGGAGTCCAGAACGGCACCCTGGTGTCTGGTGGAGGCACAGACAGGCTGCTAATCAATAGCGCTGGCAGATGGAGTGGCCCCGTGGAACTGTTCCAGGTTTTTATGGAGACGACCCGTCATTCTGTTCTGTTCACACGTGCACCCACATCAAGCACTGTTCACTGTAATAATTGATATTATTGATAATTGATAGTCACCAGTCATTTTATCCAACGCTGTAGATAGTGATGAAAAAATCAGATAAAAATCAGATAAGAAAATGTGTGGATATATATATATATATACATACATATATACATATATATACATATATATATATACACATATATATACACATATATATATATATATATATACACATATATATACACATATATATATACATATATATATATACACATATATATACACATATATATATACATATATATATATACACATATATATACACATATATATATACATATATATACATATATATATACACATATATATACACATATATATATATATATATATACATATACATATATATATATATATACACATATATATACACATATATATATACATATATATACATATATATATATAGTATATTCATATTCATATTTCTGGACCTGTTTCTTTTCTTTTCAGCTGACCTTCAGCTGACCTATGCCAAACTTTATTCTGACCTTCTGACCACATCGTGCTACATATTTTCCTGCACTTTGTCAAACTGAGTCACAGCAGCATCTGTGGACCACAGGGTCTAATTCACCAGCTGTGGCTGTTCACCTCAGACACTCTCTCCTCTCCTCACCCCCTGGACGACGCCGGGGGAGGTGAGACATAAAACAAAAACCACTGGAGCAGCAGTGAGGGTCCCGTGAGTCCCTGACTGTCCAGCCTGCGGTGCACATTTGTCAGACAATGACAACCACAGTCGTTCACACTGCCAGAATGTGTGAGGCAGATTTAACAAAGACACACTTCAGTGCAACAAGGTGGAGTCGATGCTTTCTGCGTGGGTGAGAGAGAGAGAGAGAAACTGCTGCGTGTGAGTCAGGTTGAAGTGATTGGACCCACCGCTGTGTGAACAATTAATGCACCTACAGCTTTGAGCCTAGATCAAAGGCAGAGTGTGTGGGGGAGTCAGGGGAGGGGGAGGAGGAGGAGGAGGAGGAGGGTGAGGGGAGAGAACGAGGAGACACGTGAAAAGCCATAAGTCATTGTTAGTGGTGCTAACTCTCTCTATCTCCCCC